AATTCTTTCAAATATTTGAACTTGTGAAATATTTGCATATACAAAGCTTATTGTTATAACATACTTAACAATAGCTTGATATAATTGAATTACTGAGTTAGAGTAATGATTGTCTCTAACAAAACCCAGGTTTAGGCAAGTCCTTATTACTAGTGTGGAGAACATTAAAGACAAACTCAGGTATGTATAGCTTTTATCAATAAAGTAGAAAAGTATGAATAAGCAAGAACATACAAAGGAGAGTATGATATATATAAGAATCTTAAGATAATCTTGCACAGAAGACCACTGTGTAGTCATCAGCTTGCTTCAAGTTTCTTGGGTCAACAGTTAACTTTCATGAGCCTTCAGCTTCTGGAGGCGGTCTGCAAACCTCAGTTTAAAATCACTAAAGGATATTACCTTCAGTAATATTAAGGTTCCCTTTTACTTGTCCAGAGGTTTGGGAATGAAGACAGCCTTATATAATTTAAATTCATGAATAAATGTTCCGATGAAAAGGTCCCATATCACTAGATTGGTAAGTTGGAACATGCTTGCTAAGACTACACGTCTGATCATATTTTTGCCATTATAAGTATTGTGGCTTTTCAATAGGGGAATGCTTCAACCCATCCAGAAGATAAATATACTATTTAAGCTAGTATATATTTATAAACCATAGAAGGAGACAACTGTATGCAATGCATGTGGAGTTACTCAAAGGATTCTTTTGCAATTGTATCAGTGCCCCCAAACTTTACAGTTTTTCCAGATCAATTTAATTACAAATGAAGCATGAACTGGCCACATCTGCTATCCTGGGAATGTTTTCCCACTGGTGTTTAATTTTGTGGCCAATTTGTTTCTACTGAAATGAGTTCTTTCACTTTTTCCATCAGAATTTTATCTAGTGTATGTTGGATATTTCATCTGGTGCTACGAGATAGCCATCTGGTTTTGCCAGAATTATCCTTATGGATCTTACAACACAGTCATTCTGGTATTTCTTTTAAGAATTGCTTTTCTGGCTAGAGTTTGTGTACCTACAATTGAATTCTTGAACTTCTCCATGGATTTGTTATTATTAATAAATTATTTGTTGTTCTATATGAGACTCTATAAGGACTCTTAGAGCAGTCTGTTTAGCATGATTGTCTCTAAAATATTTCTATTATCTTTCATAGTACTAGAATGGTATTAGCTTTTATAGTACCTTTTTTTTCTAACTGCAGGTCTCAACCTTTGTAGCAGCAATTATTTTATATAACATCAACACATGAAGAAATTAATTGTCCTTAGGCAAGGAGACGAAGCATTGGCTATAGAACTAAGAGGTTGGGTAAATTTGCTTTTAATGGGTAAATTTTGTTATATATTGCTGTGTAACAAATTACCCCCAAACTTAGTAGCTTACAGTGACACACATTTATTATCTCACAGTTTCTGTGGGTCAGAAACGCACAGTATAGCTGAGTTCTCTGCTTCATGATCTTTCACAAAGCTAAAATCAAACTGTCAGCTAGGGATGGGGTCTAGTCTGAAGGCTTGATTGTGGAAGCGTGCACTTCCAAACTCAGTTATTGGCAGGATATAATCCTCAAAAGATTGTTGAATTGAGGGCTTCAGCTTTCTTTTTATTTTTTTAGCTGGTTATTGCATGGGGACTGTTCTCAGTCCCTTGCCATGTAGACCTTAGCAGCATAGGAGGTTGCTTCATCAGAGCCAGCAAGAGAGTCTGAGTCTGCTACTAAGATGGAAATTATCTTATGTAACCCAATCACAGGAGGGGCATCCCATCAACTTTGCTATATTCTATAAAAAAGAAACAAGTTCATACTCAAGGAGAGAGTATTATACAAGGACATGAATCCCAGGATGTGGGGATTATTCAGAACCATTTTGGAAGCTGCCTACCACAATGAACAATGGTTTTTTGACATTGCTATGCTGTTAATACATATAGATCATGGTGTAGCATTTTCATATTTATACAAAAAAGAAAGATTTGTGATGATCTAGGTATCTATGATAATCTGTATACTTATGTGCTCTGTGTCAATCCATCTTCCTATTTCTGTGGAGTCTTTCATCCATAAGAATTCTGAAACAAAAGCTGTTACTTGGATAATGTCTTAAATTATACATAGTATAGGTATTTTCATGACTAAATCAGATATAATTTGATCAGGTGTAAGAATTATAGCACATCTTGTCTGGCAGTAAATCCTGTATGTTAAAATTGTGGGTTTTGTGTCACCAAGAATAATGTGTTCTTATAATAATAGTCTCAAAGTCCCAGTTATATGTTGGAGCATAGGATTATCAAAGGTTTTCACTATTTGAGTGGTTTATTAAACCAAGGTATTTGATGTTCTATTAATAGTGAGATGATTAGTAGACATAAAGGCATCTATATCAATAAGAAAGAGATATTGCTTCCCCTGGGAGTTCAGAGAACAGACAGGGAGTTCTTGGGTGCCAGTGTCTCCCCTGGAGTTAAGTCATTAGACAGATTTTAGGTAGTTAACCTGAGTTTTACTAATATGGGGTAATGGTTCTTTAAATTACACTTTTATTTGTGATATCTATAGGTTTTCTTATCTATAGGTTCCCAAATCACAGAGAGTAGAGGCCCTTTTTGATGTCTTACCTAAAGATCCATGATTATATTGATTTCTTGTTTATTTATTATATAACTATCTGGAAATGTCTAGTCACATATTAGATATTTTCTAACTTGGTAATTTTAAACTTTAACATTTTTCTTTTCTGTTTGATGGCCCTAATTCAGGTCTGAGCCCATTTGTAGAGAGGCTATAGTCCTTGTTATGTCAGTTATTGAGTCTACCCCAGAATTGTTTGAAGGTTTCCTAAAATCTATCTTCCATCCTTACTTTGAATCTTTGTTGAAAAAAAAAGTCTGAAATTGCTTTATGTAATGCATTTTCTATTTTTATTTTTTAAATGTTACACCACTGGGTTATTTAAATCTTCCGTTTTGTAACGTGCTGCTTTTTAAATATTTTCCTACATGAAGCTAACAATTAATTGATTTAGTTGGTACATATCTGTAGTGTAGTACAATAAGTATCTAATAAAAATCCTGAATTCTACAGAAAATATTTTGCCTGTGTCCCTGAAGTTTAGGAAAATCATTAATTACAGCTCTCAATTTGGCTCTAGACCAGGGTTTTAATTCAAATTCAATAGATCTGACTTGTGTTCTAGAAATTTAAAATGCAGTATTCTTTTCTAATAAAAGCTCCGAAGACAGAATAGCTCATTTACAAAACCAGGTTGCATAGAAAAAGAGAAATGCAAAGAGGGTAGCTTTCAGAAGGTTACAAAGGCCTTGACAAAGACTCCATTGGAATTTGAATTTTATTTAGCAGCCTCAGTATGCCAATTAGTTAAAGGAGCTGAATATCGACTATTAAGTATTTTATCTCCAAATGGGTCTATAGCTGTTCTTAAATATTTTAATTTATTGATTGTGTTACATCAAAAGTTCCCCATAATGGTCATTGTTATTCTAACTATGTATCTATCTAATCGTCTTTATAAACTTTATCAAGGAAATGGGAAGATTTAGAATTAAAATGTGACATTTTTTGGAAGCAGAAGTTCTTCCAGGAAGAGGCTGAGTCTCTGACACAGACAAACCCCAGACACACAAAAGAGAGAGGCCAGGGCTTCCCTGGTGGCACAGTGGCTGAGAGTCCGCCTGCCGATGCAGGGGACACGGGTTCGTGCCCCGGTCCGGCAAGATCCCCCATGCCGCGGAGCGGCTGGGCCCGTGAGCCATGGCCGCTGAGCCTGCGCGTCCGGAGCCTGTGCTCCGCAACGGGAGAGGCCACAGCAATGAGAGGCCCGTGTACTGCAAAAAAAAAAAAAAGAGAGAGGCCACTATGATCAGACAGGGGCGTGTGCTTCTGAGTGGTTTGCACTCATGTATTAAATGTGAGTCTGATCCGAGCTGGGTGATTATCAGAAGCCGGGGCTGACACTGACTGGTTAACATGCAAAAACTGTGTTCACTGACGGGAGCTTGTTGAATGACTGAACAGGTTTAAAAAAGGTTCTGGTGGTTCCTCGCTCTCATGGCTACAGAACAATGAGTCTCTTCCTAAATTTATGGAAATACATATTTTTATTCTCACAATTTGGGAAATATGGCCCAGACCAATCACAAAATTCTGTGAAGGGGTTGTTGCCAGGACTTGACAAGTGTTTTTCTCTCTGTGAAATACAAAAGAGACTTTATTCTGGAAGGAAAAGATAAGCCAGGCACTTAGGAACACAGCGCTGTCTCTCCTTTCAAGAGATGGGAGAGGGGAGATTTCATTCTTCTTTAGTATGTCTATTAGAGGTTGATAACTCAAAGGCCCTCAGATGCCACGTTCATAACTAAAGAGGTGAGACTTAGAGTGAGTAATATAATATGTGGTAAATAGGAGAATGCAGATTCTTCTAAAGAATTCAAATGAAATTTATGTTTAAAAAGTTTGCTGGCTGGCCAAAAAAAAAAAAAGAAAGAAAAAAAGAATAGAAAAGAAAGAAAATGGTTGTCTATGAGCTGGACTTGCCTCTGGACAAATAGCTGCATAAAAATAAAAATTTTGTTAGTTTATTTCTTACTAACTTATTCTATTACACTGAGACCATTTAACCTTCAATGGAAACAGTTTAGTTTCCTTCTTTTTCTTTCATTTTCTGAAAGTGTAGAACCAAGTTCCATCCAGGGAGCAGCATCCATTTATAACACTGGAAGCAAAGATTATATTTATAGGCTTAAGTATGTCACATTAGGCTTGTGATGAGATTAGGTTTGGGAACATGATTGTCCAGAGAAGACAATGGTGTATGCCTATTTGTGTGATAGAGAGGCATTTTTAAAAAAATTAAAATAGCTTAAATCATGGAAGGTGCGAATATAGCTATGCCTCTGGTAACTAGTAAGCAGTATAATTGATCAGCAAAATCTTAGATTCATTTTAAAACTATTTTTCTCATCACAGGCTGTGAACCCATTCCTGTCCGCTATCTGGAGTGGAGCAACATAGAATCCATCATAGCCATTGCCTTTTCCTGCCTGGGCATCCTTGTTACCTTGTTTGTTACCCTTATCTTCGTGCTGTACCGGGATACACCAGTGGTCAAATCCTCCAGTCGGGAGCTCTGCTACATTATTCTAGCTGGAATCTTCCTCGGTTACGTGTGCCCTTTCACTCTCATTGCCAAACCTACTACCACATCCTGCTACCTCCAGCGCCTCCTGGTCGGCCTCTCCTCTGCCATGTGCTACTCTGCTTTAGTGACCAAAACCAATCGCATTGCACGCATCCTGGCTGGCAGCAAAAAGAAGATCTGCACCCGCAAGCCCAGGTTTATGAGTGCCTGGGCCCAGGTGATCATTGCCTCAATTCTGATTAGTGTGCAGCTAACTTTGGTGGTAACCCTGATCATCATGGAGCCCCCCATGCCCATTCTGTCCTACCCAAGCATCAAAGAAGTCTACCTTATCTGCAATACCAGCAACTTGGGTGTGGTGGCCCCTTTGGGCTACAATGGACTCCTCATCATGAGCTGTACCTACTATGCCTTCAAGACCCGCAATGTGCCCGCCAACTTCAATGAGGCCAAATACATCGCCTTCACCATGTACACCACCTGCATCATTTGGCTGGCTTTTGTGCCCATTTACTTTGGGAGCAACTACAAGATCATTACTACCTGCTTTGCAGTGAGCCTCAGTGTAACGGTGGCCCTGGGGTGCATGTTCACTCCCAAGATGTACATCATCATTGCCAAGCCCGAGAGGAATGTACGCAGTGCCTTCACCACCTCGGATGTAGTCCGCATGCATGTTGGCGATGGCAAGCTGCCCTGCCGCTCCAACACTTTCCTCAACATTTTCCGAAGAAAGAAACCAGGGGCAGGGAATGCCAAGTGAGTTGTCTGACCTGGGTTTGCCTCCCCCCGCCCTCTCTCTCTTCTGTTTTCTTCTATTTGACTAAATCATGTTCTTCCATTTCCCCAGTCTTTTTCCTGTCCTTTCTTAATCTTTTCTTTTTTCCAAATCTCACATTCTGTTGCAGTAGGAATGTAGTACTAAAGGTCTTCGTTGTTTTCATTTCTTTGAAAGAGGAAGGAACGTGAAGCAACAACCAGCTGGGCATATATTTATTCTTACCTGCAATCTGCAGATTCTGTTGTGTCCCTAACGTTTTCCTTTTGCGTGGGTCCTCCTTCTGTGGGGTCTGGTCAGAGATGCAATCTCTAGTTCTAATTTCTAGTTTAGATCATGGTTGAGATAATTTCTGATTTATTTTTATTACTTTGGAGCCATACATTACCCGTCTGGGATGGAGAGGAAGGAAATTAGGCACCTGGGGAAGTTTGACTATTTCACAATTTGAGTGCAGCTGAGCACCAAGTATGTCCTGAAATAAGTTCCCTTGAGCAACTGTCTTACCGTGCCCCTCTTATTTATTGAACTTTAATGTGTACTGTAAACTTCCATAATGCTACACATGAATTGACCTATCTCTACTACAAGGTTATAACCAGAATGGTTTCCTAGCCATAAAGTACCGAATGAAATAAGGAACCAGATAAAGGTGAAGAGCCCCAAACTTGGGAGTCGGCATGAACATCAAAGTCCAGATTATTTCTATTTTGGTAATTCTTCTGAGTAGTTTATGTAATACACACGTTCCTGTCTTTTTCCTGACTCTATTTTGCAAAGAAGCATATGCTAAAATTTGCATGTGTCATCTCTTTCTGAGACCCATGAAAACAGATTTCATGTCACATTTAAAACTTTTCAAATAACATGGATGCTTGAAGTTCTAGTGGTAGTTGAATTATCCAAAAATTAAATGATTTTCCCCATTAGCAGTATTAATTTCACTTTTTGAAACAACCCTTTGAAAGTGAAGAATTTTAATAGTAATAATTATAACATATGCATTGTTGTAGAACTATTCTGTGCACCTGAACATGTCAGCAAGGCAAGGGGAGGGGAATGGGTGTTGTTCTCCCCAATTCTGTAAGTGAGGACACCAAGCCACTGTGAATTTGTGTGACTCTCAAGTAAATTCCACTTAGTTAGCCATTCTTTGCCTAAGTCTAAACTGGCATGAAATTTCTCATTTTCACATATGTCAAAAAACCTACATGCCTTAAACTTCTGGGTTTTTTATCTTTACTCGTCAAGCAGCACCGTGCACGTCTTTTACAAAAATCAATAATTGGCTTAAGGATCAGATGAGGGAGTCTACGGGAAAATACATTTTTGAAGTCCATCAAGTTTTGTTATCATTTCAAATAAAGACATCCTTAAATTTTTTCAGTGTTAAGGATGAAGCCAATAATTTACACCTACTTCTTGCAGTATCAACTTCAACTATCAAGTTCTTCATGAGGTGCTGATTAGAGAAGTTGCTTAGCTGGTTTTTTTCCCTTTGCCCTGATTTTTCATTCCTGCCTCTAAGTTCTAGTGAGCATGAAAGCAAAACAACAGTGCCATGAAATGAGGAAAAAAATTAGACCATAGCCACAGAGTCCAGATGTACAATGGCATCATGACAATTACCATTAAGAGGGAAAGAATGAGAGGAAACAAAATGAAAAGAAGGGAGAAAACACTCTTTAAACTGGAATGTTTGTAGAGACTAAGATTTCCTTTATCACTTCCCATATGGCTTTATGAGGGTTCCATTCCAACATCCACCATTACCCAGAGCCATGTTTTCTAACTGCCTTTATTATGGTTCTTCAGAAACTTTCGTATGATTCTTGGTCATGAGTCATTTCTGAAAGCTGTTATTATAACCATTTAATGGAAAGAGAGAATCTATGTGATCAAGATATCTTTTGGTACTCAGGATTATGCGTTTTTGAAAGCTCTCTCCGGGATTCTATGTACAGACAGATGTGAGCACCTGTCCAAGAGTGAGGTGACTAATCATTAGTACACATTGCTTGGCTGCTGGGATAAAGTGAAGTTAGCTTACCACTTCTATAGTAGCCAGGCACTGTGTTTATTCTGATTACCTTCTCACACCTGGAACTGCTTTCCTTAGAGGTTGAGAATATTCCCTTCATTATTATGAATTTAGAAATTAATTTCATTTAGAATCATGCTTTTGAGAGAAAAATCGTCTTGGTCTAAACTGGATTGGTTGTCTAGGAAGCGCTGCTTTCACCAGTTAATGCATTGCTCAACTATTAGCTGTAGTTTATCAAGCACTATCAGATTATTACAGTAAGGAATAATACTTCTAATTAGTAATTCTAACATGCAGCTTTCTTTGTACAATTGGTAGCTTCTCCAAAGTGTACCATACAGCTGAGCTGATCCACAGAGGGTATTTGAGGCTAAAGTTCTATGGAAAACAACCATTTATTTACTCATTTTTCTCCCTTACTCTGCCACTGCTTCTCTTGTAACTCTTATGAGATTGTACTTTTGAAATATAAAAATAATCCCAGTGCCTCTGTCTTTACCTTTTTATTGCTGTTTTATGACTTCCTGACCTGTCTCCAAAGTTACAAAAACCACAAAAAATCTAATATTTTCTATAGCAACAAAAATCCAGCAGAGTTTTGCCAACTGAAACAAGGGGCTGAAAACTCTGGGGAACATATCACCCAATGAGTTTATTACCATTCTGGATGTGTAATCCCTACATTTATGGTGCACTGTGGGTGTTCGGCAGTCTGCATATGTAGCTATAAACACAGAACAGATGCTGTAATGAAGAGCTTCCAACTGATCTGTTTGATGTTATTCTGAGGAGTTGCAAGTCCAACTATATTCTCATACCAGGCTGTTTCTGAGATATAGGAGAGGGATGATGTTGTGTGTCTGCTTTTGCAAAGTTTACTTCAATTTGTTATTTTGTTCACAGCCAGATATCTGACACAACCAAAGGTTTGGGCGCTTGCATTTATATTTTCTACATATAATTTAGGAGGATTTTAATCAATAAATTGGGTATTTGGATTACTTGAATTACTTATAGTTAGAAATCCTATTAGGCATAATCCTGCTTGGAAGATCAACTGAATTACAAAATTACAATACCTTTGACATTGCTAATATCTTTAGCTGTTAATGTATTTGCATGGGAAACTATTCAGACCTAAATTAATATAAAGATAGTGGTAAAATTCTCTTTCTTGGCAGCAGAAGAAACATAGAAATTCATAGACATTCATAAGTAAGCAAGTTATTTTGATCCAAGTTACTTATCACTTACTTTTAAAGCAAAATGAGTTAACATTATGCAACTAAAAAATTAAGACATTATGTAAATGACATGCTTTCTTTTAAAAAAAAAAACGTTATACCAATGGCTAAAAGTCAAACTAACACTTCTAGTCATTTTTTTGATAAATAACTCAACGAGTGCCAAACAATGTGAGGGAGCATGGAGCTGAGATGTGACAGTACACGCCTGTGACTTTTTGGGTGCATAATTGCAGGCAAAACTAAAAACAATCACCAAAAAAAGGCATTAAATTGATGCAAGGAAGTAATTTTAAAATATAGGTTTCTAAGTAAATAGTGTATGAGTATGTTCTTGTTTCTTAAGCATTTGTATGTATTTTTTTTTCCTTTTAACATCTTTATTGGAGTGTAATTGCTTTACAGTGATGTGTTAGTTTCTGCTTTATATCAAAGTGAATCAGCTATACATATACATATATCCCATATCTCCTCCCTCTTGTGGCTCCCTCCCACCCTCCCTATCCCACCCCTCTAGGTGGTCACAAAGCACCAAGCTGATCTCCACGTGCTATGCAGCTGCTTCCCACTAGGTATCTGTTTTACATTTGGTAGTGTATTTATGTCCATTCCACTCTCTCACTTCATCCCAGCTTACCCTTCCCCCTCCCCATGTCCTCAAGTCCATTCTCTACGTCTGCATCTTTATTCCTGTCCTGCCCCTAAGTCCTTCAGAACCTTTTTATTTTATTTTATTTTATTTTTAGATTCCATGTATATGTGTTAGCCGGTATTTATTTTTCTCTTTCTGACTTACTTCACTCTGTATGACAGACTCTAGGTCCATCCACCTCACTGCAAATAACACAATTTCGTTTCTTTTTATGGTTGAGTAATATTCCATTGTATATATGTGCCACATCCTCTTTGTCCATTCATCTGTTGATGGACATTTAGGTTGGTTCCATGTCCTGGCTATTGTAAACAGAGCTGCAATGAACATTGTGGTACATGACTCTTTTTGAATTAAGGTTTTCTCATGGTATATGCCCAGTAGTGGGATTGTTAGGTCATATGGTAGTTCTATTTTTAGTTTTTTAAGGAACCTCCATACTGTTCTCCATAGTGGCTGTATCAATTTACATTCCCACCAACAGGGCAAGAGGGTTCCCTTTTCTCCACACCTTCTCCAGCATTTATTGTTTGTAGATTTTTGATGATGGCCATTCTAACCGGTGTGAAGTGATACCTCATTGTAGTTTTGATTTGCAGTTCTCTAGTGATGAGTGATGTTGAGCATCCTTTCATGTGTTTGTTGGCAATCTGTATATCTTCTTTGGAGAAATGTCTATTTAGGTCTTCTGCCCATTTTTGGATTGGGTTGTTTGTTTTTTTGATATTGAGCTACATGAACTGGTTGTAAATTTTGGAGGTTAATCCTTTGTCAATTGCTTTGTTTGCTAATATTTTCTCCCATTCTGAGGATTGTCTTTTGGTCTTGTTTATGGTTTCCTTTGCTGTGCAAAAGCTTTTGTTTCATTAAGTCCCACTTGTTTATTTTTGTTTTTATTTTCATTTCTATAGGAGGTGGGTCAAAAAGGATCTTGCTGTGATTAATGTCAAGGAGTGTTCTTCCTTTGTTTTCCTCTAAGAGTTTTATAGTGTCCAGTCTTACATTTAGGTTTCAGTTTATTTTTGTGTATGGTGTTAAGGA